ATTACGACTAAAACTTTGTTACGTGCAATGGCCTTAACGTTTGTGAATTAATAAATTTCTAAGTTATTTGCAAACTAAGGTTAATGTATGTATTGCGCAGTTAACTGTACTGCGCATGCGCGAAATGTGCTCAAGGCTCCTGCGCACAAAGAGCGCGTCGACGCGTTTCGCATGGCAGAAATCGATGCGGTGGCCAATCACTTCTCACTTTTCTGTAACTAGCGGAAGATTATTGGCCACGCGTCACGTGAAGTAGCGCAAAAGTCGGACATTTTTTATCCAACAGGGCGCAAAATATAAACGAGACATTTATAAATGTATTATAAATTTGTTTTGTGGTATAAATTTGCGTATTTGCTGTATTCGCGGTGAATATAATAAAACGCAGTAATTATTATATTTTTAATGCACTCTAACAGTAGTCTTGAAATTTTCTAAATTTATTTTGAATTATATTATAAAGTATATTATATTAAACTTTTTTGATATAAGATTATATTAATCTTTGGGGTATGTTTGTATATATATTTTTACTTATTTAATATGTTTATCACATTATATGTTACCACAAGTGTAATATTACTTGTTTACAGCATTTCTCATGCCAAAATGCTCTTGCTTCCACACTTCGAAGCAAGAGCATTACAATAGTTCGTTTATTACGAACTATTGTATTGTTGAATTTACGCACGACGAAATGAATGCGAAATGAATGCGTGAAAAAAAGAAACGCTTTTAAAATATGCTTTTCAACCGAATGGCACGGTGGAAATTTGTATTTAATACAAAGCGGCAGCAAGACTTCGTAACATTTCGGAGAATATGTAACTACACCTGACAGAATTTCAAGTGTTTCCCCGAACATGGCGGACGGTGCTCGTTCGAATTTCCATGGGACACAATGAACGTGCGCCGAGCTCGCCGCGGTGATGCCGATAACTGTGGGCGTGTCGTGATCGTGTAGCCGGCCTACGTGGGTGCCCGGGGCGTCGTCGTGATCGGCGCGGCAGCGCGATACGGAGGCAGCGGGGCCAGGCTTTTGCCGCCGTCGTGCCGTCGTCGCCGCGAGTGCGCCGAGCGGAGCGAACGAACGAGCGTGAGCGGAGAGCCGACCGTGGCGGGGCCCCCCCCATGGTTAAGGTTGCTGTTGGATGTGTCTGATCGGAGCCGGAAGATGAGGCCCGCACGTAGCAGCGCGTGATTCCACGGCCGTGACGCTGAGGTACGAGGGCACGACCGGATCCGCGCCGACCCGACACGATCCGACACTTGGAGTCGCCGCGCGGCGCCGCGCCGCGCCGGGCCGGGCGCGGGTTTATTTACGACGCCGCGGCGCGTTCGGGGACGCGCGCGCCCGGGAGCATCGCCACGAGTCTCCGGGAGTCATCGCCCCGGTGCCAGAAACTGATCCCAGGGACCCCCGGGGGTTGACGGTTGACGGTCCCTACGCTTCTCTCTCTCTCTCTTTCTCCCTTTTCCTTTCTTTCTCTTTCTCTCTCTCTCTCTCTCTCTCTTCTTTCTCTCCCTGTTTCCGTCCGTCCTCCGCGCTGTCCTCGTCGAATTGATCGACTCGACGGACGGGGAATAGCTCGCCCGGAGAAGCGCGAGAGCGGGGAAGATCGTCGGACGCGGTTCCCGAGTCCCGCTGGCACCGCGGGACACGCGGGTGCATCCGTGAATACGACTCCGAGCTGCGTCGCGGCGCTCTCTCCTTCGGCGGCGAGAGTGAGTGCGCCGGACTGTTTTTTTAATGAGATGCCGATCATATGGTCGCGCGACCGCGTACCCGTGCGAATTGTGTAACGTTACACTTGTGAATAGGGTGGCGACGGACGGCATGGACGGTTCGCGATTTATTTGCATCTTCGGTTCGGTCGGACGCGCGTGGTGGCCCGTTGCTCGGACGCTAGCTTCCCTAGCGTCGTCGCTGGTCGTCGCCGATGATCTGAATCGTATCGCTGTGTCCTCCCGTTAATTACACATTCGAACACTTTCTGATCGCGGATTTACGCAAGTACTCACGATAATCCACGTACGTATACGATTTTGAAAACCATGTCTTTAAAATTTCAGTCAAATGTATAGGTTAGCGTACAACGATCTAGAATTCTAGAATCCTAGAACGTGTTCTCTTTTTTTTTTTTTTTTTTTTTTTTGCATAACGGAATGATTGGAAAAGATCGTAAACTACGTGCTCATATATTCCTGCATTGGTATAGTCAACTTCGTGAAAAATATTTGAACAAAAGAAGTGAAACAAAGGCGTGATAAGTTTAATGATTTGTCGTTTGTTTTGTCATATTTATGTCATCAAAAACGTTTAATCCGTAACAGAGGTTACATTTTACAGGGATAATTATTTACAAGATACATAGTTTCCTCTTATTGTTGTAGCTATGACTTAGCTTCTAGTAAATGCATACTCGATCATACTTGATTATTATAGCTGTACTGTTTGTAATTTAGAAACAGGGTAGAAAATGTCAGAACCGGAGGAAAGTCTGGCGGCGCCCGATAGCACCACAAGGGAACAGCGGGTTGGCTTCTCTCATGGAGATGATGTTCTTCAACACAGAGATGGCAAATATTACCTTGGTACAGTTGTCGAGGTACGAGCAAATATAATATACTCCTCTCTTTAACAGTACTTACTCAATAGCGACGATGCAACGATACTGAAATTATTTCTACATAGGTGGACTTGGCTAGGGAAAGATGTCTTGTCAAATTTCTGGACAACACATCTTCCTGGTCGTCGTTTAAAGAGCTGACAAAATTGGCTATGCCAGACTCGGATGTTATGTGTGTTCTTTGTAAAAAATCTCAGCCTAAGACTGACAATGACATTGTTGTTTGCGACAAATGTGGCCGTGGCTATCACCAAATGTGTCATCAGGTGCGCATCAGAATAATTTTTGATATCTGACATAATAGAAATAAGTTGGATTATTAATCAGAAACCGATGAGGATATTAGAGTATGATTTAATAAATGAAGAACCATACGCATTTGTAGCCTGAAATACCGAAACCAGAGCCGGGTAAAGATATTCACTGGATATGTAAAAGATGCACAGATAGCCAGCCACGTACGCGTGAATCCTGCGAGCCAAAAAATTCTATGGTTAAGGCAAGCATCAGAAAAGTTTGCAGCGGTAGGGACCAACCTCAACCACCACCGGATGACATGACAAAATTGCCATATGATGTAAGATTTAAATATAAAATAAATGTTATTACTCAAATGATTTATACATGTGTAAAGGACCGTCTACAATAACCGTAAGAGTATGCAGTAAGCTACTGACTAATGGGATTTTTGTAATTCAAGAATAATCAGCTGCGGTTGGTCAACAGCTTACTGCTTATGTCTTACTGTATACTCCTGCTGCCATTGTAGACGACGCTTAAGATAATGTGCTCTGAATTTATGAAAATAAGATTACTCTACATGTAAGATGATTTTATTGTATATAATTGTATGTAATATATAATTTCAGCCTAATATGTTAAATTGGGATAATCATCACAGAGTGAACGCTGAACAAATTTATTGTTACTGTGGACTTAATGGTGAATGGTATGCACAGATGTTACAATGCGGTCGGTGTAAACAATGGTTTCATGAAAAGTGCATCAGGTGCTTAACTTATCCCTTGTACAGTGGTGATAGGTAAGTACAAGTATAAAAATGGCAGATTCAATCAAATTCAATTTGAACATAGATATAAATATACAAATTTTATTGAAATATAGGTTTTTGAACCGCGTGGATTACCATTGTCATCTCATACATCTTCATTCACAATTTTTAATTTTCTAATTAACTTTTTATAAAATCGAGGCATATGTAACATGAAACTTGGAATCCGCCGACTTACGATTGCTCTTATATGGAGCCACGCGTTACCTCATGCAAGTTTTATTCATAATTTTAAATTAATAATTTTTACAGATTTTATGTATTTGTTTGTTCAACGTGCAATCATGGGAAAGAATTTGTTCGGCGTTTAGAAATGAAGTGGGTAGATCTGGTGCACCTGATGTTGTACAATCTGACTGTTTATAACGCTAAAAAGTATTACGACTTGGACACTGTTATTATACCTTACGCAAATGACAACTGGATGACTCTACAGCTTCCACCACGGGTAGGAGTCGTCAACATTGGAATATACAGTCTACAAAACCAATTATTTTAATTTGTATTATATTTTAATGGTAGTATTTGATAATTGTAGTTTATAATAATATTGTACGTACACTTTTAGATTAGAGATGTCAGTGTTGAAGTACGCAGAGAAACAATATTGACAGTATTGATGAGCAATAGAAACAGGTTCAAGTGCGGTAAGGAAATAAAAAAGCGCACTACAATATGGGGCCTCCGTGTCAGACTGCCGCCACCTTCTCCATTTATCAATTTTCCAATGTCCGGCGAGATAGACGATTCTGTGTTACGTAGATGTTGGGCTGGTAATAAAAGACTACAATACCTTCCACCGCCAACAGAGTTAATATGGTATGCATCTCATTGAAGTACAATACAAAACTAATTATTAATTTTTGTCATATGTACATTAACGTTTGTACAATATGTTAAATTTAATTATTTCAGTCCGGTGAGTTTGTCAGAAAGTACAAAACAATTGATCGCATTAAAGCAAAAGGCATCAGATGACGTAGAAATTCCTGTGAGTCCTACGCATCTGGTCATGCGAGGTACACTTTATCAAAATTCGGAAGCAGAGCAAAGTTCGTGTCCAAGTCCACCTCCATTAACAGAATCCAGTCAATCAATAGAATCTTTAAGAAACAGGTGTCCTATTTTTATACACATTTATTTACTATTTATTGAACTGTTTTCTTGAAGACAACATAGGTTTAACCATTTTTAATTAATATATTTACCCCTTTATCTATATATATAAAATATAATATGAAATTATTTTTCCAGATATTGCACCATAGGCGGCGGTTTTGTAAAAAAATCATTCCCATTTCCTAAGTTGAGTGTACACAGAAGACTTCGTCGTCTATTAGCATTAGGCAATTCACGGAAAAGAATGCTACGTAAACAGAAGAAAAGAGAGAAAGCGTGTGGAGATAGTACTAAGGAAATATTAGAAGAACGAGAAGCGAGATACAGAAAAGCAAGGATATTATTGAAAAATGCCATTGCCAAGGTAAAGGAAAGGAAGGTAAGCTTAACTTCACATTCATGTATATAAACGCGTGATAAAATAATACGATAGTCATTTTACTTTATTATCTATCCTCGGGAAAAATAAAAGATTGCTTACCGCATCATGTTTTTTAATGTGCGGAATGTATTATGCCTTATTTACAAGAATAATAATGCCATTTTTTTCCATTAATACAGAGCAAGCCACAAAGTTCGGAAGCATCCGATTTACCTCCAACACCGCCAACTTCCGTTTCCGGACCACCAACACCACCAGCTACAACATCGGGTATATCCGAGCTGTCTGTACCTAGTTCCGTGGATCTAATGCATCCTTTGCCACCTTCGACGCCTGCGGACACAAGTGGGGACGAAACCAGTTCAAGAGGCACTCTCGATTCTTTTATTCCACCACCCAAAGATTTTCAAGGAAAGAATAATCCATTCAGTGATTTAGGCACACCTTGTAGCATTACTCAACCAATCTCGAGTACACCGTTATCTTACAACCAGTGTCCCATCACCCTACCTTTGCCACTGACGCCTGTGATCTCGCAACCGCCGGTGGTACGTCCAGCCAAGAGGCAGTTATCGGAAAAGGATATTATCGTTGACAGAAACGGGCAAGTGAAACGTAGAAGGACACATCGACGGGGACGTCCACCCATTCAACAGCAAGCCCAGCAACAATTTCAGCCTACCGCCAGCAAGACGGCGGCTATTCTACCGGCTCGTAATAATGAAGTTAAAAGTGAATTTGCCAGGAATTTAAGAAGTTCATTTAATGGTGCTGCGAGCAGTGCAAATAGTCAAATTGGGAATTGTGTGGATTATGCCTTAAATGGTAGGAGACTGAGACAGCGGCAAAGTAATGATAAATTACCTCCTCCCGATCCGCAACCACAAAGAAAGAGCAGCATGTCTTCATCTCCAAAGTGTTCGCCTGTGAAGCAAAGTGCGCCTGACATATCTCTGGACGATCTAAAATCATCGGTGAATATTTACTTCGGTGCAGCTAATAGAATAGCTGCCGGTGAAAAGTTTGTCATCAAAGCGAAGAGGATAGGGCCAAACGGTCAGACACAATACCTCATCGAATGGGAGGGACTCAATACTTAACGGTAAATAATCCGCTTACTACGAATATATTGCAATCGTATACAAATTTTAAGTTGAGATCAAGCGTAAGATGGCGATCACCTATATCGGCATCTTATAATCAATTCTCTCAAGTTGCTTTTACAGCAAAATGATTGTGATCGATTATTTTGCGTTACATGCACTGCCACTTGTTACGTACATTTCATTAAAATATATTTATCGGCGTAGAATATGTGAATGTTCTTGTAAACGTACGTTTCTCATTTTATTTGAATCAACCTTGCGAAGGATTTTTTTTACGCTCAAGACATTACTTATTGTTAGACAATGAATCACCGCCGCATTTAAAATAAAATTGATTTATCGAATAGTGTGTCAAATTATATTAATCAATAATTTCTTTTATGTTCATCTATTTTTAAATTACAAAAAAAAAGTATACGATCCATATTGATTCTCGACGCGTACATCTCACCGTTCACACACATACATCTACATACATAACGAAACGAGTACACACGCCGAAATGCTTGCTTGAAAAAAAACGTTTGCAAGAACAGTCGGATGTATTGCTTATCAACTGTAAATAGTGTAGCATAGTAGACTTACGGAAGTATCGACGATGTAATTCACGCGAAAAAAATTTCGTGTGAGTTACATTCATTTACAGAAAGATTGGCCAATCGTCTTCTCTAAGTATCGAGGATAAATCACGAGTATGAATCAACCAAAAACGAATTGAAGCAGAAATTTGTTCCTCTTATTTGTACTAACGTACTAGCGATTGTTAGTTAGCAGTAAAGAGTAAAGCAAAACGAACATCCTGCAAAGGTTATTTTTCAATACACTGGTAGAGAGATAATCGTCGCCTTCTGTAACTTCATTGTCTTGGATTACATTTTAATTACTCTTTCTGTCGATAACAATACGATGCAAATCAAAAATTCTCAAGAAAGGAACTTGTCTTAATTTTTACAATTATGAATCAGTTTACACGTACATGATATTGAATACATTAAAAGAATGCAATTGTACTTCTCATACAGGTCAGACTTAAATCAATGTACGTACCTGAGACGATGAAGGCACAGATTTAGCATTGCTCATTATTATACAAGACTAAGAGAAAACGACACACCTGTTTCGTACCATTTTAAATTAAAAACGAACGGCGCACTGAATATGTAAGTAATTGGCCAAGTTATCTGTGCAAAAGTAATATCGTCGTGAATATGGACTACTCAAAACTGTGTTATCAGGCACACAATACGTGAGCTCATTATTGTGTAGTTATGCACTGTAAAAACGATCTTCATGCATTAAACTAGAAGCTAAATTACTATTGTACATAAAATAGGTTGATATCTAAACTGTCATGTAACACAGTTAGATATGGTAGTCAGTAAATGTAACAATGTCGCAAATTATCTTACAATAATTTTTGATACAGATTATTTTATACAACTCTGGATCCTGCTGGGATTATTACGTAAGAAGCATTTTGTACCTCAAACTGCACAGAATCTATGGTCATAACTTACTAATCAGAAAATATAAAGCAACTATAAGCGATATAATATAAACATTGCAGTAGCCATTACTAGAGTCTCAAATCAAAAGAGCTTATTAGAAAAGTGAATTAAGCATTTCGTTTTCGATCTATGATGAATTATAGAAATTCGCTCTTGCAATGGAACTTTATTTTATATTTTGCAAATGCACATGTTTATTCACGACGTGTTGCTAATGGGAAATTAATGTACAACGGAACGTAATGTACAAATCCTCATTTCTTATTCTTTTCATCAAACGAAAATTCTATCAGAAACAAAAATTTTGATAGTTTTTTATGCATGATCGTAATAATTTTTTAGAAGCGCATTTGCATTTTTTAAATATAATTCATTCTTATCGAATTTTGCTTAAATTCAATAAGTGAATATCATCCTAGATAATTTCATTTCGAGTTTTTCATTAGATTAAAATGACGAATTTATGATGAAAACTTATGCTTGAACATCAACATTATAAAATATAAGTATTCATCATTGCTATTTATTTAAATTTCTTAAATGTAATGCAATGGCAAATTTTGCATTTTGGTTTCTTGGAAGAGGCTCAAGCAATCTGAGGCCACTGTGGTATGAAATGAGAGATCCTTTACAAATTGTCTTTTTATTATAGTCGTAAGATTTTAGCAAAAATGAGTGTGTCAAAAATTTTGAATCTTCTTTCGTCAATTTTCAGACAAATAATTTTTGTAAAACATATACAATAGTAGAGCTTTTCGCATGTTTCGGCTATGGCGACTCACATTTTATATAAATATTTCTCCCATTTTTCGTAATGCATTATTTAACAATATTTAGAAGAGGATTATTAAAAAATTTTTGAATCAGTATTATGTATAATATACATAATAAATATGTGTGTGTATGTATGGAGGGGTGAGAACCACAGTGGTGTAAGTCATATTTTTAAAAATATTTTCTCGTGTGCATAGATGTAATCTGTACAATATATGAATTGCATCTATGCACACGAGAAAATATTTTTAAAAATTTGACTTACACCACTGTGGTTTTTTCCCCTCCATATAATATATATATATATATATATATATATAATGTATATTATACATAATATAATCGTGAATAATACGTTTTTTATGTAGTTACAACAATTTCAAAAACATCTTTTTCGATTCATACCACAGCACACTCTATTGATATCTCCTCTAGAGTGATACGTAGGTAATATTGGACGAAGACAAGAAATGGACACTGCCAAATTTCTAAGTTATATTTAATAAACGACGTCGGACATCGTTGCGCTATGATATGTAATGACGTTTAATTAAGTGGAATTGCGATTCATACTTGTCATCGCGCGTTATTTCACACGCGAATTTCGCGGAGACGTATCGGTAAACTCGTGACGAAATTTCAACGAAATCGTTTCATACGTTGTGTTTGCATGCATACGCATCCATGTCTTACTGAAAGTGAAATAAAGCGTGAACTTTAGCGTTTCCCACATTTGTAAGAGATGGCGTAGGGGAAGCAAAAAGTCAAATAGCTTGTCAAATTTGAATGTAAGAAGTTGAAGAGGCGTATATTTGGTGCATATTTCTACAGCTTGATCTCTAATTTGCACGAAAATACAAGGGCGGAATCTAGGGCGGAATCTCTCATAAAACGAAAAGATGGACATAAGATCAAAAGAAACACAAACGTAGATTGGGGATATATCCTCCTTAGTTAAAGCGAATTGTAAAGACTGCAAAAACCGTGGGATTGTAATGTGCTATTGCATTCTCTAACCCTGACCTGGTATTTATTATATACCTTGTTTTCCTTATATATACGTAGCAATGAAGTAAGTCCCATTATAGACGGTAACTAATTATATCTATCTGTATATAGATTTATCGATATACCTATTTGAAGCGATAATGTGATGAAATGGCTAAATATAACTTCCTAGGTTTCATTATTCACAAAAAAGAAATCACTAGTGCTGTTTTATGTCATACATCTGATATGAGAACTAATATTTATTAGTTTGTATTGAAAAAAATTGATATTTATCAGGTCAGCGTTATAGCGAAAAGCGAGAGTTTCGAGCATTTTTCCCCCTCAAATTTGTCATTTAAGAAAAAGGCCCTAGATGATTTATGTACAATCTTGTTGTTCTATGCTTCCAGATTCGCCCTCGAAAGAGTATTACCGCGCGATGTTAATTAAATGTGGCGTTGTTTATTATTGATGAAAAAGTTTCTTTTTTTTTAAATGCGCGAAAGCGGCGTTTTGCGAGTTTTAGATTCTCCCATGCTCATCTCGATTTAACGATCCTAAAGCGATGCGAGACGATTCGACGATCCGTTGCCGTTTCTTTCCCTTTACCGTATTAAGTAGGATAAACAAAGGACACTGCGTCGCACCGATGGTGCGTTACTAATGATTTAAGTCATTTAAGGCGATTGACCACGCGTTCCAACATCGGGAGCGTCATCTTTGCGACTTCGCAGCGTTTTTTGTACGAGAGTTTACACCTGATTTCTACACGTGTCCGCGGGGCGAACACGACTCGCGATCGCGCCGATCGTCCCTATCGCGCGTAGAAATCGAAAAGTTTGGAAAGGAGAGCCGTTAAAGTTAACGCCGCGCGTAAGTCCGTGCCGGCTCGCGCGGATTTTTAATCGCCGCGACGAAGCGCGGGTTCCCCCGCACGTCCCGCAGAGCCGAGGGAGATGTTGTCTAGTTAATTAATCGCTATCGCGAAACACGAAGTTCACGTTTCGTTCGGCCGTGCGTGTCGAATCGGCGCGTCCGTGCGCGTCTAATCGGAGCGGAACGTGCGCCGCGCGACGAGGGAGATCGTAAGAAGGCGAAAGTTATACTGCCAGTATCGTGTGTACATATTATGTGACTCCCACATCCTCCTCATCGCCCGCCTGCCCTCCCTTCCCTTTTTTAACGTATTAATATCCTTACACACTTACACACACACACACACACACACACACATACACATCCAGCGTAGCGCATATAGTTGATACGTTATATTACCGTTTGTATGGCGATTACAGAGCGTGCGATAACGAGCTCGAGGGAAGCTCGGCGTGTTACTTCCAGAGCGGATTCCACCGTCGCGTCGCCGCTCTCGGCGGCATATTCTAGTGTTCTTCGTTATGAGATTTCAATTGCGAGACAATGGAAATTATATCTCGGCACTCGCGATGCGTTCTTCACCCACGGCGCGTCCTCGACTGCTCGAGGGGAACCGAAGAGTTCCTCGAGTAAGAGCTTACCACCGATTAGACAACTTTTCATATGTCCGTCCTATGTTTCAATTCTGCTAATGACGAATTTATATTTTATTCTTGTTTGTTTTATAGACTTATTATGGTCAAAATAATTTTTATACTTATAAATTATTAAATTCACTTTTTTTTACCAATAAACTTCTTAGGCACTGACTCGAATGTTTTTGAAAAGCGCACCGTACTCAGCTTGAAAGTTGTTGGCGAACGTTATTCGAACTTGAGGAACTCTAAGGAGAACCGTGATCGAGCGTTCCCGGAGTCACTTTACGCAATCCGGAGATTCGTGTGATAACCCCGATTTGGCCTTCGGTCTCTCACCGAAATCAAAATCCTCGGAAAAAACGCTCGCGCGAGCGAAAACGCTTTAGCCAATGCATTAAATTAGCGAGCTGTTACTTGTAAATTTAGAGTATTCTACGTTGTTGAATGAAACGTTCTCCGATCGGTCGGGCTGTCCAACAGGACCAGTTTTGTAAAGATAATTTCGACCACGTTTGGAATTTGTATTTCATATAACACGTTAAATAACGCGTTGTAAAATTGTTTCGCCGTAACGTTGGCCGAAATCGAGAAAAGACGAGACCAACTCGATTGTTGTCGATTTTTCGCGATCACGAAAAGTGCAAAAAGTTTATTTTATAGACACAACGTTATTTTACGGCGCCTGAATGATGTATACGCACGAAAAGGTTGATCCATTTTCTTCGATTTTTTATAAAACACAAATTCGAGTGCTAGTTGGTCGAATACAGAATACATCGTGATTCGTTGCGTGCCGGAAGGTGTCCCGCTTGTTTGCTAAAAGTATTGTATTTATGGAGTCGGCAGTTTTGTTCACCTAATAGCGTTATGCTCGATTGAGGCAAAAGCAAAGCGCGCCGATCGTTTCTGACGATTATTAGTTCGATGTATAAGAGCGTGCAACGCGTATCACAAAATGTTCGTACCAGCAACGTGTTCGTAATAAATTCTACCGTTATAGATAAATATAGTTTCGACAATATTGTAACGTGAGGTCATTTTCGCGGGGTGTTCATAATTTCGTAATTCGATATAATTCTCACAACGAAAGAGACCCAAACGACAGCGTCCACACGTGCCAACGGCGTTGGTAGTCCCTATCGTTCGAGAGAGAGAGGAAAAAAAAAAGAGAGAGAAAGAATTTCGCCGCTCGAAGTCCAAATTCGTAGGGATTATTTTAGGTAGTAAGTACTCTCGCGATTCCCGTGCGATTTTGCAGCTAGTATAAATTTCGAAAGCAGGCCTCGCCGGGAGGCGAAATGGATCGCCGAGCCGAGATCGATTCTGTAATCTTCTGTGCGGAGAGACTGCGATTGTGAAACGTGTGGAAAAGTGAGAAGCGTGGAGGAGCGCCTCGAATGCGAATGCACTTAATTTGCTCGTTTGTATGTGTGTGTGTATGTGTGCATACGCGTGTATGTATGTAAGTGTACATTTGTGTACGTGTGTACGATAAATTTTAAAAAGAAAGAGAGCTGATTGATATTTCGGAATTAATAATTTGTCATCTCAGAGGCGATAGGACCAGCGGATACAAAAAAAAAACCGAGATAAATGCGTCTGTCCCGATCCTCCGGTTATTCGATTGGGAAATTCCGCGGGAACCGTCACCGTTATTACGAATCTCTCGGTTCCTTCTTCCCGGACTTTTTTTTTCGCGCTCGCGCGCGTGTCGCTCGCGCGACCCGCGGGGAGACGACGTTTCGGCCGTTTCGCCAAAATTGATGTGTGATAGAACCCACTTATCTCCGCAGATCTCCGAATTTTACGTTTCTGCGTATATTTCCATTTTTAATATTAATTCAGTGGACTCTGTATATACACCGCCTGCGCTGCGTACGAATATTGCGATTGTTGCCTTGGCCGATATCCTTCCCCGTAGCTTTCTTCCCCCGATCGTTCGAGGACCCTCGGAATCCTCGGGACAGCGGCCGATCGACCTTTCGTTGATCGATGAGTTCTAGCGCGACTAAAATGACAAAAAAAATTCATCATTATTCTTCGCATTGTATATACAGCCATCGCTCAGCCCGTTCGGAAATCGATTTCCTCAGGATAAACTGCCAGACTTGTTCGAGGAATCGTTTCCGTAACGGGAGTTACAAGAGACAATCGTTCGTTGAATTTTCAGTCGGAGCAAAAAGCTTTCCCGTAGAATTCTTCCTCGCGATAACGTACAACGACACGTACGACGTCTTTATGACTCGCGATTCTGTTATCAATTCCGTAGGCGACCCAGACAACACACACACCGTGTCCAAAATCGGGACGTATGTGAAGTCTGGGGAGTAGTGAAGCCTCGCGACGAAAAGAAGATCGAGGGAAACGGAAAGGGATCGGCCAGGGCATTTTTATGTTTATAGTATATATACGGATATGTATACACACAAAATGCTCTGGAGTTATCGCCGATTTCATCGATCTACGGGATTCTCTCGCGCCGATGTAGGGAAACGCGACTTCTGAAGTATTTTGTATCGGCGCGCGCGATACTTCTCGCGATCTTTCCGACCACGAATTTTCTCACGTAGATCCAACTTGGTTGGGCTACGAAGTAAAAACAATTTTCAATGCGAGGTTTACATTGTCCGTCGTTACTTTTGTCACGATTTCGCTACCGAATTGGTGCGAGAGAATCCGTTGATGCAAGCGTACAACGGCGACGGTCTCGGGGACGCACCCGTACATGCATATAAATAGTTTTACTTAAGATTATCTTAACGAGCTACAATTCTGTCCCTTCTTTTTTTTTTGTCTTTTTCGAGCTGTCGTCGTCGACAGCTCTCACGACGCGACGCGCCGTGCCGTCGTCGCCGCGCCAAATCGCGGGATTTGCGTGTCCAATTTTTATCGCACGGCACGACCGGCGACCGGCGCTCGCCTGTTGGGGAACCGTGCTCTCCGTGTTCATTGTTGTTTTACTCAGCTTGTGTAAAGAGACTGATCCATAAACTCCCTCGCTCCTTATCATTTCTCATACTTCATCCGTTTTTCATCGTCATCGACTCGAGTGACGCTCATACGGAGACCCACGTACAAAAGGGAGGTTTAAAGCGAGAGGGGAAAAAGGAGACGAGGTCGATCGACGACGATCGACGATCACGAACTCGCTGTTGTAAAGAGAGAATAATAAACGATACGTGTAGACCTAACACAAACGGCAACCTCTTGCCTTCCGTTACCCAAAAATATCTCCTTATGAATATTAATACCGAGGCAAATCCCCCAACATTGCACGTGTCACGGAGCGTTGTATGAGTCGCGTTTCTGAAATGCGGCAACGGAGTGAGCGATCGATCTTATCATTTATTGTTTTATAACGTAAACAATGAGCACGAAATTTAATCAATTCAATGAATTACGACGCGTTTGGAGATTGATTTGACTGCGTCCGAAGAAGATGTATACGTGTTTTTATCGCGTTCACCGTTCTCATTGAGATTTATCGCATTTAGAATTGATTATTCATGAATTGAGGAGGTCAGGAACAGGCTCACAAATTGATGACGAAGCGTCGCTGGCTCCTGGATGCGCGTGTATCGTATATGTGGTGCTCTCTTTAACAGACACTTTAGTGAAACGATTCCCAAACTTTTCAAACTATCGCAGTACTTTCCTACCACGAGAAAATGTGGCGAAACTATAAATGTAACTGTACATGATATCGAGTTAGGATTATGTAAGTGACGAAAGATGATAAAAATCCGGGAACGGAAAAAGCTTGGTTTAATAAAACAGCTTTCAAACCTCAACTGCGTTTATTAAGTATAACATCGCGCATGAAAAAAGAAACACTGATTTTAATTAAAGGGGAAATTTAATTGGGAGAACTAAATCTCAATATTTGTGCATTCCAAGAATGATATACGTATCGTACGTAATTAATTTCTGTGATTGTACGATTTATTATTTCCCGTCATGAGTTATTCTTTTTACATGGAAATAAAAGTAATAAAACAGCTCGTATGTAACCAAACCGATTGCTGCGGCATGTTACTTATCGTTAAAATACTATTTTATTTATGCAGCATACATATCAAACCGTAAACAATGCAGTATCATTTTTACTGTGCGTTAGATGTAAGACGCAAACGTATTAAAATGTGATAATAAAGTTTACACTTTTCTGATGCATTTGGTTAGTATTGATTCGCAAAATATTTGTGTAAAAAAACACAATTCATTAATTTATTTAACATGGTAACAAAATATAGTATCTTACGCGTAATATTATATAGTTTACAATAGTGAGCACAAATAATATCATTATGTTGCATGTATAGATACACTGTACAAACTGATAGAAAACTTTACAAAATAGCTAAATGTATCTATTAAAATGCAACAGATTTAACCCGTCCAGCTCTAGCTTAATAAATAATTTATATACATATATAATATCTATATGTATATATATTTATCTATCGATCTCTTCATTATAAGGAGGGAAAAGAATTCTTCTTGAGCGAGCGCATCGCAAGTTAATAGATTGAGATTTAAACAGCCTACATAGATTGTCAATTTAAAGTTTACAATCCGAAATACCTTCATAAGATATTAATACATATTAACAGTTTGGTATTACTAACTAATTTACTCTAAGCTAACCTAGAACAAATCCTTCATAGGATTATATCCGAAGATTATTTGATTTTGTTGTTGATATCACCATGTTGAATATACATGATTATCATTTATGTCAGGGTGTCATCACCGATGCTAGAGAAGAGAATATCTCGGCTTGCAGCGGTCCATAATCAACTTCTTCGCCGTCTACAGTTATATGTCCACTCGTTCCTTCCATAGGTTCTATCCGGAATGCCTTCACAGGTATCATATCAACGCCAGGACAAGTCACATGAGTCCCGCTACTCAGGCCTAATAAAAACTAATAAGCGAATACGAGTGTTACATGAGCCTACTGTTTTCTTTTTCTTCCTTTATCCTGCTTTATAACATAGCTTACTTGTACTAAGTTGGCCCGTGTGATACCGGCTTTAGCTATTAAAAGCCAAATAATCCCATCTTCTAATGTAGCACGTGGCGCAAAAAAATAATCCTGGCCCAAATGCGTTTGATAAGCTGCATGTACCATTATAAATTCTCCTGCAATTTTAAGCATAAAACCTTCTGTGTATACATAAACACACCATAAAATTCGTCTTTGATTTACATGCATTGTAAAGGACAGTATAAAAATTCTATGAAATTATTTTCCCAATGCATCATACATATTGAGCATTGTAACGCAACTGAAAAGTGCTACATTACATTATAAATATTTTTTCCAAGTATGATCCATTTCATTCGGCGTTTTATTAAGTGGTACGTGACGTTACTTCGAATTTAACTGGAGTTAAAGGGTTAATAAGTGATGCATTACGCGACAACCTTTGGCACCGTATATATACGACTATATTATATGACAATTACAACAAATACACGTCTTTGAACTCATCTTTCATAAACGAATCTTATAAGCTACAAATGTTACAACTCAAATGTTTATCCCGCCTATATAATTTCTAAATACTTCGGTAAAAAATTTAATTAAACGTATATTTATAAGAAAAGCAGATAAAAAAAGAAATTTGTTTAAAATTTTCAAAAGTCCGAAATTCGAAATGCCAGTACAAGACTTTCGTTATTTAAGCAATTGCCTTACCTTGAACTGTTGTCCAGCAATTTGAGAGTTGCGTTGTTAATGCCGGAAGTGTAGATGACGGCCCATACATAACTTGATTGTTACAGATGTTTTCTGCACCTTAACGATATAGATTTATCATTATGGATATTATAAATTCAATAGAGGTACGTTCGATTTTAACAACATACCAATCTCTGTGCTATCATTGTCCTCCATACTGTGATAACTCGAGACCGAACCTGTGCTGAAATAAGTTGACTTCGCCGATGTTGCGGAGTAGAAACTATCAAGTCTGTGCCTCCTCTCGTTTTCCGTCTCGAGATTCAGGTTCTCAGTTATCACGTCGTTATCGTCGCAACCGTTTAAATCGTGCGATGATTCACCGAAAGTATTGTAGAAGCCTTTTGGTTCCGATTCTGGTTTGGCACAACACCTACATTTATATTTTTTTCTCATAAATAAGCTCAATAAATAGCGAAGAAAAATGGTATACATAATATATCATTTTCCTTTAATATATAGCATTTGTGTAAAATTATCGAAAATATTTTCAGATTAGGAGCAAATTATTGAACTCGAATATGCAGTGTGTATATATACTTCAAATTCAATACACACACAGCATACTTACAGTAACACTGTTTTCGAGCACACAGATTCAGTTTCTTTGTATCTCCAAATATATAAAATATACGAGCTTCGAAAGAATCGATGATAGAACTTTTGTACGTGTACTTTGAAATCATCATTGATATCTGGCACGTGGCACGTCGACAAACGGTCACGCTGCCGGTCGTGCCTTAATACATGCGGTTATCTGTCTCATTACATTCTATTAAAAAATCCATTATAATCATTACGCTGGATTATTACCTGTCCAATTCGTCGCCGTAACTTCTCGAATGCGACAGTATGTTCTCCGCGACATAATCCTTGTGATATATATTGCCGTTTTCCATATTTTCCGTCGGAGGGACCTTGTTGCAAGGTAAATACGACACTTTGCCTTTATACGTTCTCAATCCTATTAGGCGCGCTACGCTCCATACGGTAAATCTTTGGCCTCCGATAGCGCGTAGTCGTTCACTTTCTATGTCAATGTCGGCGAGGAGACCCCAACCCACCGACAGAAACGAGAAAAGGATCTGATTCCTTGTTTCTACACGCACGATGTCCATCGATGTCCTTTTGCATTTGACCGCCGATAGCGCGCTGATAAGCAAAGGATTGCGGTCGTATGGCTCTCTGAAACATCATCCTATTCTTAGACCGTGACACACCTTTAGCCATAACTTTATCGAGATATCAACAGATCAAATAAAAGTGCAAGACTTTTCTCGATCATAAAATGTATAATCCGTTTAATACTGATATATGAGTTTGAGCAACGCTCGAGTTGGAATGATAATATAATCGGCAATTGCGTTTTCTCACGCAAGGCAGTTCTTTCGAAAAAAAAAACTTTATCGACATCGTGTTTCACATGAATCATTTCGTGGAACGAGACCGATAATGAAACGTGAGTTCTATTCGAATTAAGTATACACGTCATAATCCACGAGTGATTAAGCCGAAAATTGTGACGTGATTACATGCAATTCCGTGTCGAGAGACGACGATAACCGCGTGAGATTAAAGAGGAGGACCTACTTCTTGGCATAGGCGATGGACTTCGCTAAGCCGTTGCCGGAGCCGCATGGTATCACCCCGAGCGACAATTCGCGCAGAGCCTTCTCCCAATCGGGCCTTTGGAAAAGTCCGTTCAGCACCTCGAAGACGATTCCGTCGCCACCGACCATCAGCAGGCCGCTCCACTGATAAATATCCCTCGTGCGCACGAACTCGCGAGCGTAATTGGGACATTTGGTAATGTGAATCTCGTACGATGTCTCCGCTTCCGACAGGATTGGATGGATCCTCTTCTGGAAGGTTTCCCTGCCCCTGCCGGGTCCCGATTTCGGGTTCAACAGCACCAGGAGCTTCCGATTTTCGCCCGGACACGCTGAAACATTAGCGAGAGAATGCAAGAGTTATGCATTATATTCGTCCCAGAACCTTTTTACTATTATATCTTATCGTTTCGTCGTTACCGCTACTTGAAAGGCATGCGTTTCTAACAACCTCGAGAAACCTTCCTCGGACAAACAATTCCGAAACATATGCGAGATATTCGTCTTGTAATTTGTGCACACCACAGTTTTTCAAAACAATGCGTTCGAAATCTTTCTTCGGACAACAGATACTTTCGAAAAGCGATAAAATGTTTAGGTTCAATGGATTCCTTATCGCTGAATCCGTCGATTCTTATCAGACTGTCATACTCATTTCCAGAGAAAACGTAGAAAGCTCGTCTTGTGTCGCACAAAGTTGCTATTGTTCGGTATGCAAAGTGCATTACGTTCCTCTTTATCACCTCGAGAAAACTTTCGAAAAAAAAAAAAAAAAACGAGAATCCGGCTTTAAAAAGTTCTCAGCATTCTGCTGCAATCGGTAAATTATAAACGTTCCGCTATTTAATTTTAATGTTTCAATACATTTACAACTGCGAACACAATTACGAAATACCTACGCAGAATTAGATTGATGTTCGCAACACATTTTTGTCATATATCGAGGCTGATATATTCGTTTTAGAACATATACTTTGACAGATGACTTGACACCGAATAAATAACAGTTTAATCATGATTGCATAATAGGTAGCAGTTCTTTGTCTTTTATGTACGACGCACAAATATCAACATTTATCTCTCCTCTGACGAGACGTGAAGAAACACGTGATGTAAAAAAAAAGATTGATTTAAGAGGACATAATTTAGTTTTTCGTAGCATCCGTGTTAAGCGTGTTAACGCCGTGTAAAATTTATCGCGCATAATCAGCGCCTATGTTCAACAATGGATTTATAATTTATACAAATGTGTTTATACAAGTAATGTAATCTATAAAAATAACAGTCGCATCTTGATGCAACTGTTGATTTATTACCCAAATTCCAGTAAGTAGAAAGCATGCATATTTTGCAAAAGAAAGTCGTCTGTAAGTTATTATAGTTACTGAAGCAACAAATAATAAATAATCTCTTTTTTGTATTTAAATAATAAATATTAAATACGCTCATGCGTTTCCACCTTTAACAAAGAAGAATATAAAAGAAAATCCCCTCACTCTGCTATTTCACAATTATAATTTGCAGCCGTCAGAGGTCGATCACGCACGTGTCACCAATCTCAATCGCTTATATCCTCAACTTCATATTGTTAAATTAATATGAATATTAATATTAATATTAAATATTAATATTAATATTTAAAAGATCGTGTATGATATATAAAACAGGATTAGAAAAGAATTTTATTACTTCTCAAGAAGATCTGGCTCTGCCTTTAAATTTATCATTTATTTACTCGCGATAAAAGATAAATGCAATCTAATGTTAAGTAGCCTGAAACGTTCAATCCCATAATGTATTGTCTGCAACAATAAGATAAATGATATACATCCGATATTTTCTTTATGCTATCGGTAAGCCGCGCAAGATTGGCGACCATGTTGAAAGCGTATGACGGCATGTTAACGACAGAAATAATAGAAAACGTCGAGAGATACATATATTTGCGCGAGAGTCATTTTGCTGTTAGCATAAGTACGTGTCTTCTATTAATGGGACTCGCGTAATTCTTTGGGTAATTATCATTTCATGAATGTACATTAAAGATTGGTAATCATGATTAGCTGTCTCACAACATCTACGATTTATCGATAAGAAGATTGAACGACATCACTCGTTCAATTCAAACGGAGCGTAACTATTCGTTATCTCTGATTTAAAAGAAATTTTAGATGCGGGCGAGCAAGAATTATCGGCGCGATGGAAAACCTTGCTGTTAACGTGTCCCACGTCTTTCTTCGAGCGCATAAATTGTCACGCCACTTGCATAGATCGCTGCTGCATAAAAGGAATAAGAGAAAAAAAGGACACCGCGAGCGTTGGCTCAGTGAGGCCTTTCTATTTTTAAATCGAGGCTACTTACTTAAAAGGCGTCGCGAACAAAATTCAAGGAGATAAGAAACTAGCCGAGAACTTATCGCTTTCTGGAAAACGCGTTAATCGCGTACACGCGGAGCGCACAAACACTCGGCTTTCTCGTAAAAACTTTCCCGACGTCGGATCGCTTCGAGAGGCGATTATTGTTTTTTCAATCTTCTATATCAGTGTTTACCGTAAATAATGCGTTACGTAACCGCGAGCGCGACGCAACCCGTGCCGCGGTAATTCGTTTTACAAGCACGCGATCTTTTCCGACATTTCCGCGTTCGCGGAGCAAAACGAGCGAGCACAGGCAAAATACTTATGTATGTATTTAAATAGGCCGATACTTTCGATAGCGCCGACGTCATTGCATAGTTAAGAATTATGACGCTATTAGAGCATTGATTACGCATACGGCACTGCGATACAAAGGAGAACGAACTAAAACTGTTAACTTATTGTAACGAAGTTTAAGCGGCCTTCAAGGGTTATCAAGAACAAGATAAAGCGGATTATCACATAAAATAAGACGTGACGACGTGACACATCTCGTATCGCACCTTCATGTAGATATTTATTATCTGCCAATACACGCGAATATTTCGAAAAGATTAATCCACCGACATGCGCATCTGAAACGTGTGAGAAACTAATTGTGTTACAAAATTTATTAAAATTTTTTCTACAATTTTGATATTCGACGATGACACCATGTGCATTATGAATTCAACATGTGTCAAGTGACAATCGACGTCTACAAGATAAATGTCTACTTGATCGATGATTTTTGCATACTGCATTCTTCAAATAAACATTCTTCAGATAACCGATCAGCTGGATCAGCTAGATTGTAACCTGTTCGTACTCTGCACTCGATGCCCGAGGCTAACAGGAAAAAATACCGGACTTTGTCGCATTGAAGGACAAAAACGTTATTACCGTAATGGATATCATTTCGCAAACTCAAGTTCGAACTCGAGTAAAACAGCGTACTGGACTTTCCTCTTTATACTTCAAAGTGATCGAGACGCCTGTATACGACAGCATGATGCTGAATATCGCGCGCGGTATACGCATATGTGTGTATGTGTGCGCGCGCGTGTCGCGGAAAGATATCAATCGCGTATACGGATGTTGAAATCTTGCCAATGTGTGCCAACAGGAAGATCGGAAAAATCAAAACCCGGAAGCGTTTCGCAATCGAAGCACCTCTTTTCGCGATGCGCGCAGCGCGATACGCGGTGTTGTGGCAACAAGCGTTCGCGGTCAAGCAAAAGTCACAAAGTAGGCCGGTATGCATAATCGGTTCTTATTTCAAGACCGTCTGAAGTAATGTCTTAAGATGCTAACACGGTTCTGGTTCATGACATCCTAAAGATTGTACTTAAGACGGTCTTAAATATAAGAGCCGACTATGAATACCGGTCGTAACAACGTCCCGCGTATTGTTTGCGTGATAAAAACATATGAGCGATGCAAGAATTGACGAGATATCGTAATTGCGCAAAGGGTATTAGGGAGTTTTTGCAATACCGTCTTTCAGACACGGTAACCGTATCTCATCTCTGTTCAGATACATATAGTGAATGTATCTGAACAATTCAGATACGGTTACGAGTGCAGAGTACGAACAATCTATAGCCGATCTAGCTGATCGGTTATCTGAAGAATGTTTATCTGAAAGACGGTATTGCACAAACTCCCTATTATCTGAATGATGCTCGATGTTGATCGACGAAGTTAATCGTATTTATAAAAAAAAAGCTGAAACAACTATCAATTATGATTTTTTAATAACGTTGCATAAGTGTTCTATTCACCTGCAGTTTTTCTTGCACGTTCAAGGTGCACACGTGCGAAGAAAACACACGATAATAAACGTATGTCCATATGCAACCAGTTGAAATCAGGTCAGATAAAACTCAGGATAGATATAAAAAAGGTAAAACGTTGAAACTATTGATATTTTACGTATTATCTAAAACTATTGCCGATAAATTCATTTACACCTGAGTGAGTTGATGAAGTTGATAAAGCTTTATGGCCATTGATTGATTCAATTCCTTAAAAAAAATCCATTGTTAACCAATCTTTTAATCATGTTGCTTTATCATAAATTCTTTAACAACGTCTTCTTATTGCAACGGTCAGCATTAAAAAAGATTGATTTTGAACGCGCTAAAATGCACGTAAAAATCAGTGTCAGTATAACATATAAATCTTTCTCATAAATCTTCAAACTGTTTTGTGAACGTTTTTAAAAACATTTTACAATTATTAAAAAATTGTATGCAATAACTGGGAATTTATCAATCACGGTATTGCTCCATCTCATACTCGCGGAACAAAGCCGTGTCGTCATTTCCATTTTTAATAAGAATCCAATATTTCTTTTAAATGTTTCGGAGGGAAGTGTCAAAATATTGCATTGCAAAAAACAACATCCTATATTTATGAAGAGTCCCGGCCCGCGAAGTCCCCAAATGTCACATTGTGAAAAACTGTATTATTTTATTTCCAAGATTCCTATCTCGGAAAGATATTTTATTTCCAAGATCCCTATCTCTACGAGGTTTTCGAAGTTGGTTGTGAAATTATCATTCAGATATTATCACTTATTGTACGTAAACTGAGAATGTGACGCCAGAAAAATATTAGGCCACGTGCTCCTTATATCTTCATTGCTAAAACTTAAATCGCGAGATCACGTGGACAACGCGATACGCGTATAACGACTGGGATTAGAGATTACATAAGAAGTTATGGTAACGGGTATACTGCGGGAACTAATCGCTAGGCTAGGGTACACGCGCTGTTTCCAAGTGCGCGTTACAGTCTGAATATAATTGCCATTTGCATACAAAAGCGTTGTACGTAGGGAGCACAAGTGATCATTATATATTCGATAATACACGCGTTACTGACGCTAGTTTGCGATGCAAGAAGAGATGAGTTAAAGGTCTAACAATAAGAAAAAAAAATGTAGATCAACAAGTTGTCTCTAGACTTGTGCGCGCGCATGCTTTTGTAGAAAAGAATCCCCAAATATATGTAGATTCCTAAAAATATATTATCTCTAAAAAAAAATACATGAAAATCCTTGAAATATGTTATCAATATCTCTCTTTAGTTTTCAGACTGAGAAATTAAAGAACTATTTTATTTCCGCGACATTCCAATGGAGTTTATTGAGTTTACGAACAAAACTATCCTGTCTGTGAAATATCTATCCTATCTGTGAAATAAGAAAAGGGAGAGAAAAGAAGCTGTCAAAACGGAAGAATTTGTAGAGCTACGACACAACTAAAATTGTTTGACGAAAGCTTGCTTGAAGAGAGATATTTCTAATTTTTTTGCTTTTTTAGAATTTGTTCAGAAAGATGTTATTTTACACTTTTATTTATACTTTTCTACCGGTAGAACCCCTTTCATACCCGGCTTGTACCATTAATAACGAAACATGCTGTATAGTCGTGCTTGACCCGATCGCTAAAAACGCGTAAAACCTGAATGAAAAATAATCTTCTAGCATTTATTCGTATATACTTAAATGCTAGAACAGAGCTTATAAATGCAAGATAACGTGATACGCGAATGACGCATATATTATTGTTTTACAATGAAAAACATGGGAAACGGATAATTGTAGTAATGTGTTTCCTTTACAAATATATAACTACATAAATAATACTAATTTCCTAGTATAGATTCAATTATCCTACATACGTTCGAGTACGTAGTAATAATCCATATCACGATTAAACGATACGTATATAAAATTCAATCTGCGAGATCGAAATACAAGCAGCAAATGGTAGGTTGTCGCGTAGAATATTTATTTCGTTGGTGCACTACGTGGTATATCTACTAAATCTCAATCCTTTCTCTTGATCGCTACATTTATTAAACATCTTAATTTCACGAAAGAAATACATATGTCCATATTTCTTGCTATAAAGTAAAGGTACCAATACCTGGACACGTATCTGTGTCTGGATACCTTTAAAAAAACATAAATTTATGAAAATAAACGTTTGGATATTATAACTTAAGTTTCAAACTACAAGAAAAAATACTTTTATCTTTGATTTTAATACGCGTTATACTTATAAATAATAAAGGTGTCCGGATATAAGTACATGTCCGGGTATTGGTACCTTTACCTTAAGTCATTGTATATAATTTTTTATCATTCTATGGAATTTTCCGTCAAGTTAAAATATTTGATGAAAATATAGCAACCAACATTGGGATTAGCAGATACCACTCGGTACACCAACGAAATAAATATTCTCCGTAACAACCGGCTAATCGTTGCTTATATTTCAACCTCGTAGATCGGATTTGCTCAGTGATGTAACACAGATTAAGATCTGTTTTAAATCTATTTACGCCTTTCAAACGTGCGACCGGATGTATCGCCGGATGCCGTTATTGTCGTTATACCCCGAGTATACCTACCAAAGGTCTATTTACCTGAAAGAAATCGACAGAAATTGACTTGGAGCAGATATCGTCAAAACGATAGAATATTTTATCGTTCGTATCGACAATCTTATCCAGCTAGCGTAGGACGCGGAATCGTATAAAATACATCGTTTAATCAACGCTTTATTTTTTCGCTCCGTGTCCAGACGATCAATGCATGAGCGTCGAGCGAAGGAGAATCTTCGACGAAAGGTCCGATTATCGAGATTGTTCACACTTACCTCCGACCAGGGTCTCCAGGTTTCCGTGGCTGGGGCTCATCAGGTTCTTGGGTACCGGCACGTTGGCGACCAGGCACTTGATCGCCAGCCGCCACCTGCTCGCCTCGCGCAGGTTGTCCTCGTACTTGTCGAAGCTGCGAAAGCGCAGGGTGATGGTCGTGCGCTCGCGCCTCAACGTGACCTTCATGCGCGTCTTCTTGAGCGTGTACGCGTATATGTAGAGGTAAGCCGACGTGTCGAGCTCGTCGCAGTGCTGGTAGAGCTCGGCCGACTCCACCAGCTTCATCTGCGACTTGGACGCGCCCGGTCGGCAGGCGCAGCTGCCCGCGTTCCTGCGCTTCGACCGCATGCATCTGCAGCCGATTATGTCGCCGAGGGCGATCGTCTCGATCTTCGCCGCCCCGTTGTGCTCCTTCTGCAGACTCAGGCCCTTCTCCGTCAGCTTCACCTTGTAGTACGTGTTCCGCTTCGACGTCACGTAGAAAATCTCCTCGAGGACGGCGCTCGAGGCCCCTTGAACGCTGTCCTCCATCGTGCGCCGATGATGCTTGCGTTCCACCATTTGAACGGAGTCCGGACCCGGAAGGTATTAACTTGAAGTGAGAAAAAAACGACCGCCCCGGCTCCGGCGATATCCACGCGCCAATATATCTGTATCCGTCTTTCTCTCTTTTCTCGCTTTATCGGTCAAGTGTTACCGATTTCTCTCGCTGATTTCTTATCCGCGCGCACACGGCGATCGATCAGGCGACGATCGCATGGGAATTCCGAATTCCGACGGGAGATGAGTAAACACCGCCGTAAACACGACGATTATATACGCCGTAAACAAACGATAGAGCCCGGGATTATCTACGCGCTCATGCCGCGCCGTTCGGCGCTCGATAACGTAACGTAACGATAACGAGAAGAGATCGGTGGGCCGGCGTTCTCTATCGTCGGCTCACGATACGGCTGACGGCTGCTCTGCAGCACGTGTAGACGAGCGGGCGGACCGGGCGCGAGTGCCTGCCGACGATTATCATCGAGACGCCGTTGGAGGAGAAACGTCTCTCTTGGTCGAGCCGAACACAACTCTCGCGGGGTTTCCTTTTTCCGCGACTGACTGGCCGCGTAACCCTCCCGACGCTAGGAAATCACAGATGTTGTTCGACGATCTCGAGACTCGAGACAAGGACCACCACCACGCACACGCGCCTGATTTTTGCCGTTGCGGGATCGAGCCTTAGGTCCCGCTCGCCGACGGGCACCCGCTTAACCACCGCACTGTTTCACCAGTCACCACCGCTCGGACTCGACGCGCTAACGACAGATAACGACTCGCGCGAGCGGCACTCCGAGGTCTCCGAGGTCTCCGAGCTCCGCGAGTGACGTCGCCCGACGCCCGACGTGTGTGATTCAAATGCACGGGTGTCGCGACGCGACGAAGCCGAGAGACGGCTGCTCCATGCCGTTCAGGCCCGTATTTATCGGGGCTGCTAACCCTGCTAACGAGAGAGCCAGCTAGAGCCAGCCTGCAAGCAGCGCGTCGACCGTCGGCACCGTCGCGTCGCACCTCCCCACTACTCCCGCTAGCACCGCTACCCTCTCTACGGTGCATACATAGCTTGTCTTGCCCTCCCCTCACCCCCGTCCCTCTTCCGCCCTCAACCCGCGCGTCGACGAACGGAGTTGGAGTTTCCAGCTGCGCGGTGAACTTTAAGGCTGCGCCACGAATGAGAGTTCTGTTATACTGCAACCATTCTGCGCGTAATAACTTGACGATTAGTTTTTCGTAACAATAGAATAGTTTAATGAGGTAAACGGTAATTTGGCTCGTTCGTGGAGAATGGTAACGAGCCGAGTTAAGACCGATACAAATCCGAGCCTGCAAGTCCGTGCAATGACACAAAGCGTCGATTATATTCCTTATGGACCTTTCAATCAAATTTGCTTCCAATAATAAACTTTCAATATCCCTTAACACTTCTTTTTTATAATGAATATATCATACTATATGTAGTAAGAAAGCAAAAGATAAACTATATGACTTGTGTTGCTCGAAATAGAGAAGTCTGTCGAATTATAAAAGAAGAAAAATGAGAGATTTATATGTGATAAAATATATATTTGCTTTAGATTAGTAAAAAGAAGAAGCGATAGAGATAGAGAACGTTAATTTCGTAAACATTAATAGTGATATCGGAGCTGACTTGAAACTTTGTGCTCGTATTTGTTTGGGTGTTTGCTTCTTCTTTTTTCTGTCTCGACTGATTATCTTCCCCAATTTAGAACATACAGCACCACTATCTAAGCATTTATTAAATTTTACTCTTTCTTTCTCTCTTCCAACTGTCTTAAAATTATATTTAATAAAGGCAACTCACTGTGAGTAAGGTAAGAATGTACGCCGATGCTATATTTTTACAGTGTGAAGCAGCTTTAAAGCTTCTCCGTGTAAGAAAGAGGAGGAAGCAGAGTGTGCAGTTGCACGATAAAGCAACGGACAATAAGGTGGCAAGGGGCCCTTATCGTAAATATTGTTACTGTAAATAATGATAGAATTCAAAGAAATGCATAATTGCGACGAACAAAACAAAAGACTTTCATAAATATTTTATTATTGCATCCTCAATTAAATAGCATTTATAATAAATTTATTTTTCTAATCAAAAATATAATACGCTAAATATAATTTCGATGTTCTCTATTTATTATATTATTATCATTATTTATGAGATATTATTATCATCATTAATATCATTATTTATGAGAAATTTCTACAAAAGTATTGATATTATAAAAAATTTTCTAGATTATTGTATTTAAATATAAATACGCATATACTTTATTTTTATGTATATTTTTATTATTATATGTATGTGTTTGTGTGTGTGTGTGTGAGTGTGTTCTTATTTTGTTTACTCTCTTCGTTATTGTTATTGTCGTCGTACAGCCTAAAAATATACATTAAATCAGTATACCTACTTTAAGCAGTCCGATTAGATATGTTAGTCTTAATATCACATTTGTCGCATATATAATGAATGTCTCAGCATTTGTCTCCCGAAATGAATAAACATCTTCAACGGGGAAACGAACTCATTAAATATAATATCTTAATTTGAGATTTTTAAAACTTTTTGTAACATTTTTTTATTGTTATTTTATTTTAAAACAAGAGCGAAATATATATCAGCGACGATAATCATAACGAAAATCTGTATCTGTACCTTGAACTTTGAAAGATATTGATTGCATATAAGTATGCGTTAACTAGGTTTTAGATTTTTCTTTTGATATATTTATTTGCAGACTTCTTTTTTTTTAATTCATTAATTTCTATTTTTTTTCGAATGTTCGATTAAATATCTGAATTTTCGCAAGCGAAAAATGAATCAAAGTTTGCTACGCTTTGCAATTACAATTTACGGCCGGAATTATAATTTTCAATATTTAGAAGTAACGTCAAAATTGTATATATTCTTCTGATAACAATCTTTCGAAAGTTTCGTATTCCATCTATAAAAAAAAGAATGTATTCCACCCTTTTGAAATACTTTTGCGTATACGCATTGCTTAAAACTTTTTGAACAACTCGTGTATATATAACCCCGGATAGCCAAAT